ACTAACAACAAAACTAGAATGCATGTTTCGTTTGCGCGAACGACCAGAACACATGATAGAGGACATGCCTCATCGGGTCCCAAAACACATCCCTCTGATGTCCACAAACCATTTCAAGCTAGGGTTATAGTAATGCATTGCACATAAGATGCGGGGCACCCTGTTGTACGCTTCCTCCCAACTACCCCATCGAATCACCAGAGCAATTTGCTTAGCACGCCAAGCCTTTCCGTACTTCATATCGTACTTAACGAATCCAGATATGGACTGTTGTAAATAAGACACCAAAATATCGTTATTGTCATCAACGAGCCCCAATATACGACAGGCAAGGTAACGTGTAGTGAGCTGCTGATAATTTTCCTCCCCCCTATTTGTTAGGCAAGTGTGGGGTTCCACAACTTTACTTATCCTCCACTTGCCATCACTCTGTCTCTTTCGTGCATTTAACCTCCACATACAACCGTTTTTGCATATCACGTGGTACCTCAACTCCTGGTTCGAATGAGTGACGTTGTACGACCTATGGTGATACACAGCATAGTCCTAAAGGAAGAGCTTCATCTCTGACATTGTATTGAATATCATCCCCTTCCTAAGGGTTTCTTTCTCATGGTCATACAATGATTTCCTACACATCTGGAGACCGATGTCACAAACTGTCATATCCGTCATGCTGACATCCCTATAGTTCGGAACGCCTCTGAAAGGTACGTTCATCGACCTTAGTTGCTCAAGCTCAGTTGTTGTGTAAGGTGGTGGTGGAACATACTACTGCGCTTCACTAATTCTAGCCCATGAATCATAGGGGGTATCATCTGCTGCCAAATATGTGACTAGTCTACCCTGAGCCTGGATACCATGCAAAACCTCAGTTGGAACTGGTAATGGCATATTATGAACCGGTACTGGCATGGCATCAACCGGTGTTGGCATAGCATCTATACCTCCTTGGTCCTCATCAGAATGGTATGAATCACTGCTAACTACATCACTGATCCTGTCCTGCTCCTCCTCTTCCCGTTTGAACTTGTTCACATCGAAGTCATTGCTTATACAGCCTACTGCAGTTGAATGAAACTGCTCCTGCATCAACTGACCGTCCAAATCCATGTTACCCTGAGTTGCTTCCCCTTCGACCCCTAATTCTTGTTCATTGCCTCCAACACTGTTAATGGACGGGCCGTCCTAGACACCCTGCATCCTGTACCCATTCTCCACCACCACCTCAGCCATGGGCACATTGGAACTTTGGAGCACCCTAGTGTAGCGGGACCAGTGAGCAGGGTTGCACAAGGGCATGAGGACATAGTGTGCCCTAGTCTTCCCAGTATCAAACCTCCCATTCAGTGTGAAATCACCGTCAAACTTTACATTCAAACGGACACAAAGGGCGTTGAAGCTAGGAGGTTCATCAAACCATTTCAATTCTTCTTCCATATCCTCAAACATACCATCTTCTCTCCTAACACTTCCTTCATATAAAACTCTAACACAACAATCCATCTACAAAAGCATTTCAAGAAACTTCATCAATTCATCGAAATCGTCGTACGTAATGTCCATAATAATATTAATACATATTCTAAGTATAACTATACTAACTAATCTAATATTAACATATATACAAGGCTAACTATAACAACTAATGTATAACTAGACTCACTAGGGGAGTACCTACCTCCATGCGGCGGCAATGGCGGCGTAATCGGCTCGTCATGTGGCCGTGCGGGCGGCGGCGGCGGTCAAGGCTGCACGGCGCAGTGGCGGAGGGCGGTGGCGGTGGCGCGCGGCGGGGCGTGGCGAAGCGGCAGCGCGCCACGCCGTCGTGCGGTCGGCGGCGTCCTTCGCCGCGCCAAGATCGATGGCGCGGCGGGTGTTGACGCGCTGGTACACACCGTTTCCGTTTAATTAATCGGTTGTTTTAACCGCTTAAACGGCTGGTTTAAACACTGTTTTCGGGTTAAGCGGTAGGTGACCCAATTTTACCGTTTAGGATAAGGGGTCGAGATGCGGACTAGAGGGGTGAATAGTCTTTTCTAAAATTAATCGCGTCGGCTAAGCCGATATAAATGCGAATTAAAACAATCGGTCTAGCCAAGACTACACCCCTCTATATATGCTCACTAGCACCTTGCAAAGATACTAATTATGCAACTAAGATGCGACTACAGAGCTCTCTAAACAATTCTAGGGCAAGGTCACACAAACCTATGCGGCAAAGGCTCCTACACACATAGCGCCAACTAAGCTCACTAGCAAAGCTCAATAACAAGGCAACCAATGCCTAATTAGAGAAGCGCAAATACTAGCTACACAAACTAAGCAATGTGACTAACAAGATTACTAAAACCAATGACTACCATCAGATTACTAAACTAGGCCACGGGCCTTTATCCGCTTTGTCGCTATTATAAAACAACTACACGATCGAAGCTTGTAATGCCAAGTTGACACGATGATTTTTCTCCCGAGGTTCACGCTCCCGTTAATCACTTGATTCGGTGCTAAGCCCGCCCGCGTCGCCACGCAAAACCTACCGCTCAATGACAAGCCACTAGAGTCTCTTGACATGATTTTCACCGCCCCTCACAAGCACTTAAATGGTCGTTTAGCCCATTTACACACCGCTTCTAAACGCTACTCCGGTGGTATACCGCTTCCGCTTAATCGGTTGTTTTGACCGCTTAAACGGTTGTTTTTCCCGTTTAAACACTGCTTTTGCCCCATGGCCGAGGCCATAATGGGCTAAACGGTAGGTAACCGTCGGCTCGCTTTAGCGTTTAGGATAACATCGGCGACCCGTGCACTCACGGCCCGTCCACGCCACGTCATCCTCCTCCCGCCACCACCATGGCCTTCCGGTCGGTCATGGCGCCGCCGCCATGCCATGCATCAATAATGTAGGCGCCAAAAGTGTTAGTTTTGAAAGAAAAAAACAGTGTTAGATTTAAAATTAATTTACAAAAAGTGTTAAAAAAACTGGCCTGCTAACCAACTCAAGACTTTAATGGTCGAATATAAGGAGCATTCACTATTGGACTTTAATTTGGTGGCCTTCAAACCTCTGCCCGTTTTAAACGCTCAAGAAAAATGAAAATGAGATAGAAAAATGATAATAAGATCCAAATACTTTAGCTAACAATGCTATTTTAAGGTTCTCGGAGCATCTCCAAGAGTTCTCTAAAGCTTCTCCTAATCCTTGGTTTTTAGAAAATAAAATAAAAAATCCCTCTCCAACAACTCCTAATACAACCTCCTAATATTTTAGAAGTCGGGAAAATCCCCCTCGTCCGCGTAAAACTACACGGACTCTTGTCGCGCGGAAAGAGGTTCCTTCGCCTCGTCCATCACCAGTTCGGGAGTTCCTTCGCGTCGTCCAATGCTCACCGTCGAGGGTAGACGACGCTGTGGGGTACGTACTCCATCGATCTTCCTTGTTTTGTTGTGGGCTTGCTGCGCCGCCGCCGCTAGGTTGGCCTTTTTCTAATATTTTAGAAGTGGCTCGCGATCGACTATGTGGTTCTTGCTTGCCACCGGATTGCCGTGGATCGCCTTGTTTTGTTGCGTCCGCTTGATCGAGCTAAGCGTCATGCTTGTCCAGCCCGCCTGCGTCTCGAGATTGCTGACGACGAAGGGCGACAAAGCGCGGTCGCGACGGCAGCTGCGCGCGTGCTAGTAGTACATGTATTGATGTACATCTAGGCATGAGTAGCGACATGCGGATCGATGATCCATCTCCGCGATCGCGGTGGTCGAGTCGAAGGGGCAAGCCGGCCGGCTGTGTGCTTCAGCTTCTTCTCGCCGATTGTCTTGAATCGATGGTTCCTGCATGCTCTCGTGATCCTAGTAGATGGCCGGCAGCTATTGCTGTTGCTACCGCCGATGGCTAGCTTGTTCCTGCTACTAGCTGATATCTAGCCGATGCATGCGCATGATTGCTGGTGGTGCCGGTCTGCTAGGAGGTGGTCACGGCCGGCTGGACTACTGCAGGGCTAGGGCACAAGCCGCACGACGAAGGAAGGAAGAGCGGCGGTGGCGTCGAAGAAAAAAATCGAAGTGGCACCAAATTTTAATTTTTTAGAGTGGAATATTGGGTATTATTGGAGATGGACTTCTTTTTTTCTCTCAATATCTTTTTAGGAGTTGGAAAACATGGTGTTTTTAGGAAGAAAATTTAGGAAACTCTTGGGATGCTCTCACTATGAGAAAGATAGAAATTAATATAAAAATTAAGATCCAAATCATCCTTATTTTTCCAATATAGAATCAAGATTATACATTTTACTTTCACTGTCTAGATCACTTTAGAAATAAAATCCAAACAAAGTACGGAGTATATTATACTAGCACTACCATAAAGCAGAAACCAACACTTTTTTTTTTGCTAAATAAAGTTGACATTAATAAGCACGTCCTTCTAATCCTTCACATGCCACGGCACACGATCCTTGGACTTGGACGCAAACGTCAACCGGAATGTGCATGCATTGCAAAACCCCGCCGGCCGCCGCGAACCGCGTCATGAATCCCGGAGCGCGCAACAATTATTCCACCACAAACATGCTCCACGAACCACTCGACTCGTTTGCGATTCAAATTCGCATCTGACTTATGGACTGCATTTAACAAAATCCATTTTTTTTTTTAAAAAAAAAACAAGCTTTGTTCATAAGTCATGCATGGCCGCCGTTTCTTGGCGTTGGCGAGTAGTAACGCATGCTTAGCTGTTGCAGTCTATCTACTAGCACCTCCTCATCTTCTCCATCCATCTCCTGCAGGCCCTTGTTCCCAAATCTGCAAGCAATTAAGCAAACATTCCACCCACCAACCAAACCTTCAAGTGCTCATCACATCAGGGTTCCCCTTTCCCTTTCCCTTTCCCTTTCGTGGCCCACGGCTCCGCGTCCTCCTCCCCACTCCCCAGTCCCGCCGTCTTTGAACCCCGACGACTGACGCCGTGTTGACTCGCTTGCGACAGCGAACGGACTCCCGTGGCCATGGCCGTGGTCGTGGCGGCGCGCCGAGCGACTCTCCTCGTCCTGATCTTCCTCTCCTCCGCGTCCTTGTTGGCGGGCGATGCGTCAGGTGGGGTTCTTGAAAATTATGCCTTTCCTCTCTTCCGTCGATGTTACCGTGTGTTTTGATGCATCGATCGAATGCTTGCGTGTATAATTTGGTTGAGATGTTGGGATCGTCGTCTTCAGCGGTGGCGGCGGCGGCGGGTCCGGCGGCCGGGGCGAACTCGTCGTCGTTCCTGCTCGCGGCGGAGCAGACGCAGCGGAAGGACCCGCTCGACGGGCTGAGGTACTACACCAGCGGATGGAACATCAGCGACGAGCACTACTGGGCCGTGAGTTCTTCCTTCTCCTCCCAGATCCCATCTTGATCGATCGTCTAATCGTGTTCTTGCCTCGAGCCTCGATCGGTTCTTGGTTATCCGTTGTCTTGATCGTCGATTCTGTTTTTGGTTCCGGCGACGCGATCATCCTGGCTCAGTCCGTCGGCTTCACCGCGGCGCCGGTGTTCGCGGCGGCGGGAGTCTGGTTCGTGGTGTTCGGCATTGGCCTGTTCATCGCCGGCTGCTGCTTCTGCTGCTGCCCGGCCGGCGGCGGCGGCGGCGACGACGCGTAATCGCGCGCGTGCCTGTTCGTCTCGCTCGTGCTCCTCCTCGTCGTCACGGCGGCGGCAGCGTAATAACTTTAATTCTCCGATCACGTCGCCATCCGATTCATACCTCGCCGCGTCGATCAGTAACTAATCGGCCGGTGCGTGTATCCTCTATCGTCGTCACAGCTTCGGGTGCGCCGTGCTGTACGACGGGCAGGGCCGGTTCCACGGCAGCACGGCGGAGACGGTGGACTACGTGGTGCGGCAGTCGGGCGACACGGTGGCCAACCTGCGGGGTTTCATGGGCTTCCTGGAGACCGCCAAGGCCGCCGGCGTGGGGCCCATCACGCTGCCTGACGACGTCAAGGGCAGGATCGACGACGTCGTGCGCAAGGTGGGCGCGGCCTCCGGCGAGCTCGCCGCCCGCACGGCCAGCAACGCCGCCAAGATCCGCGCCGCCCTGGAGACAGTGTACGCCATCGGTCATGCACCGCACCTCGTTCGTTCGTTTGGTTCCTGACCGTGCACTACACCACTCCTGAATCCTGATCATCTTGTTCTTGCTGCTCCAATCTAATGCAATGCAGAAGGAAGGTTCTGATCGTTGTTGCGACCGCGATGCTAATCCTTGCTTTTCTTGGCCTCCGTGAGCACCATTACTTCCTGCAAACACTGTTTATGCGTCTCTTCATAATTGAGTTCATGTCTGTATGTAAGCATGAATTTCACGGCTAATTTTGGAGAAATTGATATCACCGTTTCTGATATCTCTCTCGTTTTGCTTACACTAGCTCTGCAATTTTGCTGTGATGCAGTGTTCTCGCTGTGTGGATTGGAGCCGATTGTCTACGTGTAAGCATCAAACACAATACAGATCTTCAATGCTCCATCACTTGCCAGAGTTCGTCTGATGAATATGCTGATGCCACTGATACTTTGCATGCAGGTTGGTGTTCTTGGGGTGGATCCTGGTTGCAGGGACGTTTGTACTGTGCGGTACTTTTCTCCTCCTGCACAAGTAAGTCCCTTTGCTGTTGCTTCCAAGTCAGTACTGTCACGAGCACTCCTACTCCAGTCCGATCTGGTGGCCACCACACACACAAACGCTCACGCTACAAGTCTACGTGCAGCGTGGTGGGCAGCGACACGTGCGTGGCGATGGGCGAGTGGGTGCAGCACCCGCAGGTGCGCAGGGCGCTGGACGACATACTGCCGTGCGTGGACACGGCGGCGGCGAACGAGGCGCTGGACCGGGGCAAGGAGGTGAACTACCAGCTGGTGGCCGTGCTCAACGCCGCGCTCACCAACGTCTCCAACCGCGACTTCCCGCCGCAGGTTCCGCCGCCGCTCAACTACAACCAGTCGGGCCCGCCGGTGCCGCTGCTCTGCAACCCCTACACGGCCGACCTCCGCGACCGCGCCTGCGCGCCGGGCGAGCTGCCCCTCGACGCCGCCGCCGCGCGGCAGGCGTGGCAGCGCTACGTGTGCCGCGCCGCTGCCTCCACCGCGGACGACGCCGAGGTGTGCACAACCCCGGGGCGCGTCACGCCGTCCATGTACGAGCAGCTCGCCGGCGCAGCTGACGTCAGCTACGGGCTGTACCACTACGGCCCCGCGCTGGTGGCGCTGGCGGACTGCACGTTCGTGAGGGAGACGTTCCGGTCCATCGGCGACGACCACTGCCCGGGCCTCAGCCGGTACAGCGGCCAGGTGTTCCGTGGCCTGCTCGCCGCCGCAGTCGCCGTGATGCTGGCGGTGCTGCTCTGGGTCGTGCACTCACGGGAGCGGCGGCGGAGGAGCGAGGCCAAGGAGATCCTGCTGCTGGCCTCGTCGCCCTACAAGTTTCCTGTGGAGGAGAGGGCATTCTTCAGGAGCCCGGCGAGGCCCTACATGTGAAGCTAGATTACCGTATCACTTTGCTAGCTTAATTAGGCCATGCGCGTGCGCCATCAGACATTGGAGCGTATTATACCTGTAGTCCTGTACATTCTACTGTATTAGTATTTAATTAAGTAGCCGACGTTGGTGTTCGCATGTGCTAAATTTCGAAAAATCCGGCGGTTAAATACACTATACTTTACTATGGACTACTATACTACTAACATACTACTTCCATTCAAGTAGACTCGATATTCAGACAACAAAAACAATGAGACAAAAAGTTGCCTCTCTTATCTGAAACATAAGTGAACTTGAGTAGAGGCTGTATATATTTTTTTAAAAGGCGGCAAGAACTTTACCGGATTTTTATTAGACGATAGAAAACAAAAACAGAATTACAAAAGAATTAGAAGAGGGAACAGGCCACTAAGCAGCACTCTAACTCGTCCCCAGGCCGTCTCCCTAACCTGTTCCCCCTGCCCAGCGACTGAAAACAAAGAGAGCTTCCCCTAAAGCCAAACACACACCACTGATCACACAGCTATAGCTAAAAAATTGTTGATGCTGTTGGATTCCCCATGATTCCTCATCGCCAACTGGTGCTGCTCTATTTCTTCCTTGCAAAGAAAAGCTACTTGTCTTGGTTGCATCAATATGTTTTGAGAAATTCTTCGGTTGCGCTCCTTCCACACATTCCACCATAGGTAGATCATTATTCCGTCAAATACCTGTCTCTAGTCTTTATCAATATAATTTTTGCGCGGCATTTTCGCCAGTAATTGTAAATGGATCCCCACATTGGCACCATGTCTAGGACCGATAATCCAAGCCATTGTTTTAAAACTGACCAAACTTCCTTTGTGAAAACACAATCCTTACAATATAGCATAATTTTTTTTAAAGGAAATTCCTTTCGATATAAGTGAAAACTCTCTTAGTCTCCTACCTCAAATGTTAAAAAATACCTTTAGATGTATGGCAAGATAACAAAGTGGTAAGGATGACAATAGGCTATGATAGCTTGGTAATGACGATCATGGTGGTGGAAGAATGAAAGGGCTGGGGTGACTACTGCAGCCATACATGTGTTGACTATTAACTCATGGGTTTCTGTGGTAGCCGAGCTAGAGCTAGAGGTGGCCTGTGGGCTGGTGGGTTTCGGTGGTAGCCGAGCAAGAGAGTGGCCTGTGGGCTGCAGGTGCGACAACGGTTCTGTTATGGTCGTGTGGTAGTTGTCATGTCTATGTGACAAATGTTCGCATATGTTTTATGGATGGTTAAGGTGACGGCTATTATGTTGGTCACCAACATTGACACTATTGTTTCATGATGTTGTTATGCTTTCTTTTTCGATAAAGCTATAGCTCACTCGAGTGATTTGGAGCAATCCATCACTCGAATTTTCTCTTCTCCAAATCCGGCCTCTTCCCCTCTTCTTCTCCAAGTCCGGTGGGCCTTAGAAGGAGCTCGTGGGAGGCAGGCCGACCAAGCGGTGGGGACGGCTGGAGGGTGGTGTTCGGGACCTGGCGGCAATGGAGGTGGCCGGGCCAGGTTAGGGCGGGGCGCCCATGGCCGTAGCTCGCCGCGGAAGAACGAGGGGAGAGGGAGAAGGAGGCCACCGTGGCCGCACTATGGTTTCACCGACGAAACCCTAGCTCTCTCGTGGTGGGGCAATGGACGGCGGCGGGGGAGAGGAGGAAGATGAACAGATCCGTCGGGACGAGAAAAATCGAGTGATGTGTCACTCGGGTAACATATAGATAGATCCTTCTTTTTTATTTTCTTCTGTTGTATTTACATGACCTAGCTACTTGTCAGCTTTCTTTAAAAAAAACACCGTGATCTGTATATATTTACTAAGAGTCTGGGATGCTACGAGATTAAGGGCCCATTTTGGATCCACCCGGTAAACTTTAGACCTCTAAACTTTAGAGCCAAAGTCTCCAAACAGGTGGTGTAATGTTAGCTCTAAACTTTAGTTCATCTCACATTAGAGTTTTAGAGCTTAAAACTAAATTAAAGTGCTCTAAAGTTTTTAGAGCTCTAAAGTTTAGATGAGACGATCCCTAAATACTCTCTACTCTCTAGTAAAGAATGCATTATACTCACTTTTCTCACTAGTGTAGTATGACGTGTATGTAATGCTTGCTTTATACTAATATACAAGAAAAGACTTTTTAAATATTTTTGTCCTTGCACGCTGAGCTCTTGATATATATCTTGTGGTTGTTTATTTTAACACCCTTTTCTTTTGGATAAACACGCACCTCCTTTTTTGTAGGATCTCCGTTTGCAGTTTTATCCTTTTGAGCCACGAAACAAGGAGTCAGTTGGCACTCAACAGCCACAGGAAGCCTCCTCTGCGCGAGCGCACACGAGCAGCACGCATTGGGAATTTGGGAATCAGGAGGCGGCAGCCACAGCAATATAATACCCGGCCGGTCGACATCACCACCTGATCAAGCGCGGCGCGCAGCCTTGCACAGGATCCGGTCGTACTCACTGCTGCGGCCATGAGTTCCTCTCCTCCTCCGTGCTCCAAGACCGCCGCCGGTCATGCGCCGGCGGCGGCCAGGTACTGCCTGTGCGCGCCGACGACGCACCCGGGCTCGTTCCGGTGCAGGCTGCACCGGTCGTCGTCATCAATGGATGCCACGGCGGCGGCGGCGGTGGCAGCGCCCTCGGCAGCATCGGAGGAGGCCAAGGAAGCCGCGGCGGCAGCGGCCGCGAGCGCGTTCCTCGAGCGGATGACGGCCCGGAAGCCGAGGCGGCAGGGCGTGTCTGGGTCTGGGATGGTCTTGCCTGGGCCTTCGAGGCTGGGAGCCACCGCGACGGATGAGTAACCTCCGTAGAGTCGTTCCTGCGGCCATGGCTATGTAGACTTGTAGTGATAGCGTGATATGGGCATATGGTGCCGCCGTCGTGTGCATGCTGGAAGGCACTGATCTTCTGGCTTGGAGTTTGGACGACTAGCAGACTTTTTGTTGCTGCCTTTGGTTCATTTGCATTTTGTACATACTTCTTTCATCGTTGGTAGGCGATGAGATTTTGACGATACAAATACAATTGTTCGGAAACAGGTTTTGATGATATATAGAGTCAGAGTAGTATACATGCGAGCACATACTATGCGCAGTGTGTGACGGCGTCGGTCCAGACTTGCCATGCAAACCAAACGCTATGCTCACTGCTCCGGCTCGGTCTTCGGATGGGATTATGATCCGGGACCAGCCGGCCATCTCGCAAACATAGTACTAGATTCACGAACAATGCGGCCTTCCAAATCCCAATCAACTTCTGCACAATCGCTTGCGTTGAAGCACTGTAGCACCGTGACCGTCAACTGAACTAAAGACATTTGTTGGAAAAAGAAAGCTTTTTTTAGATGTTGGATACTAAACCTGATCTGATCACATTGCATCAGCACAACCGCTTATCCAGCTAGAGCATTCGGCACTAAAGCTCTCTTGTCACGAGATCAAAACTATAAATGCAGGGGCAATCATGCCATGGATTTCGATTACTGTACAATTTACTACAACTATGCCTCAAAATGGGATAGTATGTCCCGATGAACTACTAGCCCCCAGCCATGTACGTACAGAATGGTCAGGTATCGTGCCCCGGTGCACTGTTGCCAAGAAAAACAAAAACAAAACCTTTACGTCGTTGACAAAATTTCTATCGTGTATCATAGGAGCAAGCTGAAGATGTTTCTGAAGCCTTCACGTGTGTGCAGCCAGACAGAAATCACCAAGCACCCATGAAAAAATATATCCCAAACAAAGCGGTCGTTGACTGGTCGTCCAACAGGTAGTATAAAGGAGCACATCTGCATCCTCAAAACGAATCACAAGGGAAGAAGAGATCGCGCATAACGGCTAGAGGGGGTTGTTATGCCCAAAGGCCCAGCCCTAGGCCCAAAGGGGTCCCATCAGATTTCTTACTCTGATCGCAACACTTGGATGGACTTTGGCGATGGGATTTTGAGCTGGCATGTGAATTGGTGGAACCATGGCCAGTGCCATTCACATGTGGTGGAATGCTCTCGCCATTCTGTGAGACTGGGCTTCTCATCTGAATTGGTCCCATTTCCTCATCAGATTGCAATGTCTGTACAGTGTTCTCAATATCCTCATGGTACCCCTTCAGCAAGAACTCAGAACAGTTCTTGCGCACCCCATGGTCATATGGATTTCTGAATCTGCCACTTGGTCCCCTGAGGTAACTGTACCTCATGGCATTTGCCATCTCATTTGTTGTAATGTTCCTGGACATCTACAAGGTGGATAAAAGTGGGTTAAAGATACAGGAAGGAAAAGAAAGTTAATAGTGCCTGATATCAGATGCAGTGGATCTTCCACAAACAGACAGAAGGTCGACAAGGTGGTAATTTTTAGTACGAACCGAACAAACAGATAACCAAGAACACGAAGAATCATGCATGTGCAGAAATAAGCTACAAAACTATCCATATATGTATAAACATGGCCATTGGCATCAACAAAATTCGGTTGGTACCAAATATTTGATTAGAATTTAGATTTAGAGGTACGATTGGCACTTGGCACCAAAGGGATACGGAATACATATTTTGGCATAGAAATGAGTAAGAACAACACTGATGCCATTCAGTTTTTCGTTGAAGAATATGTCCTAGTAACTAGATCCATCCTGTGATGGCGCCTAATAGATGCATTGTGAGTTCATTGGAGATGGTAGGAGATGAATCGCTCCTCAGTGGTAACTCTAGCATATTTCACCACTCAAAAGTAAAAAAAGGGTCAACAACAACTTGGTTCATACCTGTGATGCTTGAATTACTGTTAGAGTTATAACACCAAAGAAAAGGAGGAGGTCCATTATGACAAAAGACACCACCCAGGAATGGTTTATAGCTGTATAGCCAAGCCATCCACCAAATGATGCTGGAGAAGCTGGGTCTGCTACGCTTCCTGCAACAAGAAAAATAATAAATGAAGTTTTCTCAATGCAATCAAAGTCTTGGTATAACAGAAAAATGTAAACAGACTTATGATGGCCGTTACACCAGTAATAATCATCGCAGAAACTTCTAGGATAAGGAACATAAAGAATTCCCATTTGTTCCTCTGCAATTTCAAACCATTGTAGCTTAGGCTGAAGAAAATCACAATTTTTCATTAACATTCAAAACGTGGAAACAAAAGAGAATGATGCCATTCAGCAACTAGAGGAAGAATGACGTTTTCTTGTTCTTCAGCTCCTGCTTTTGGGTCTATAGGTGTAGTTTTTAGAATGAATCCGTATTTAGCTTTTTAACCCTGTATCATTAATATATCAACTGCAAATAAGATGTCCAACATATAAAAGGAAATAGTACCTTTCCAATGCAATTCGATACCCAAGGGCAATGATGATCGAATTGCTCAACACAGCGGTCGCATGTAGAGCAGTGTTTTGAGCGTACAGGCCTGACAATCTATTATACTAGGCAAATCAGGCCGCTTCAGAAAAATGTTAATTCAAGGGGAAACCCCACACATATTGCTTAATAAAGAAAAACTTACTTTGCATGTTATACATAGTTGAGACCAGTTACCATCAAGGAGTTCAGGATTGTCCAAACCCATCTTCAACAAAGGTTCCTAGAGGAGCAAAAACAAAAGATGAACATTACACATTTTGGTCTATGATATTATTTCAATTTTCTGTAAGTGGCAATTTAAAATGAAACAGGAGATAAAGAAATGAACAGGAAGTCATAGTAGGTTTCTAGATCTTTCAAGCTTACATCATCTCTTTGATTTTGTGAGTCTCTTATATTCTTGCTGATGTAACCAGGATCTTTACTGCACAAAAACAGTATGGTCACTCCAGGAAAAAAAAAAGATGATCAAAATGCAAAGCTAAGAAGTGAAAGAAGCAGGGTGTTGGGTGTTGAATATACAGATTTGGAAGAACACGGAATTAAACAAACTGAAATTTAAGTAACAGGCCTTTTATAGACGCACGGTAAAAATAATGAGAAGCATTAAATAAATTGGCATTACCTCAAAGCCCTGAGAGGCTGAGACTTCCACCAAAATAGCATAGCATTCTAGTAAATGAGGCTAAGATAGAATACAAAATGATAGGTTCAAGCAATAAATAAATATGAAAAAAATCAATGTCTACTTTTACGAATTGCATGTGGTTCAACATAAGATTAGTCTACACAATACATGAGAAATTGAGAATAATGCATAAGAGTTCCAGTTTCTTATAAAAGCTTTTCTTATAGGCCAATTTGCAAGGCCTTTCTTTATTTATCTGCTTCTCTTTTTTGTTCTTTTGTTGCTTGTATCATAATAAGATGTCTACCTGCTGCATCTATAAAACATAACCAGTCCGGCAGTTGCAAGGAGAACTCCCAACCATGAAAATAACCCAAGAAATACAGTCATCTTTGTGTTATAGTCTCCTGCATAGTAGGAATAAATTAAGTGCCACATTATGGAAGATTAAATCGTCTGAACTCTGAAATACATCAAAATAGTATAATACCTAAGATAATTGAATGTATATATACAAAAATTAAGGCTATAATGATACACCAAAGAAGAGGAGCAAGCCCGATTTTTAACAGTTTCCCAAAATAACCATTCCCGACATATCCTCTTTCATGTACTCTTCTAGCATTCCCCTGCATTAAACAGAGAAAATGATCAAGTCAGTCCTTAAGCTTCCCTACTGCACTATAAGACATTTTGTATTGAGGTCAATAATGGCCACTGTAACTCCCTAATCAAGATAGTCCGGATCAGAAGACATGCAAAAAAGGGTATTAAAAAATTAAAGAAAATTAACAAACCACAAAAGCTGCAGATGAGTACTTTCAGTGCTAATGGATTTGAGAAGAAACAGTTTCCTCTTTTGTTGCTTCCATGTCAATGACAGTACTTTTTTTTTCTTTGAAAAAAAAATAAACCATCTTTTATGTAAAGATAGTAATGCCATCTAACACCTTTACCATGCTAAATGTACTAATTGTGAAAAAAAAAATTTTGATATGTGAGGTAAAGTAATTATCAAGGAAGAACACATGCAAAATATGCTGCACAAATAAAAATAAGCAGCAGCGGTATGCTTCATGCTATTTAGATTTTAGACTAAAGCCAGTCTCAATGGATGGTTTCATGTCCTTGTTTCCAAGACGTGAAACTAGAACATGAAACAATTCCTATCAATGCACAGTTTCACTTCACTGTTTCATACGCTAGTTGTAGCATTCAATTCTTCCATGGTGTTGTGATCAAATGTGCTATGTGAACTATGTAGCCATATGATATTGTTCTAAGTATTAGTATATTACAACAATCATGTTGGCAAATAAACGGTTTAGACTTTCAGAACCCGTCAATAGTTTCAGAGTACTACTCACATTGACTCATCAATCATTCATCTCGCTGGATCTTCAAGGCAATAGGTGTCGGATTCAGAATGTGCTTGTAATGCTAAATCGGCCGGCAAATGCAATACCTCAAGTCCTCAGCTACTCGATGCTATGTTAGTAGTCTTAGTACTAGTACTAGTATCATTCAGTCTGAACAGATCTCTACCAACGGAAGATGCGGACATGGAAGTGGAACCACAGTACTGTTAGGAGTGAATGAACTCGATACATTCCGGTGGGCTTCAGCCCAAACATGTACATGGGCATATATGCATAGAAGCCCTTACACAAAGAGGAAATAGCAAAGACACCTATACATCTATATCTAACACCCCCCTTCAAACTCAGGGTGGATCACGAAAACTGAGTTTGGAGAGAAAGAAACGATGTTGAGCTCTTGTCTGTGCCTTTGTGAAGAAGTCAGACAAC